GACGTAACAACAGCGGACGCTGAAATCCTCCGTAAGATACACCAGATCACGTATCATTATTTTACCGCAGACGGGCGAAATAGAAAGCGAGCCTTGAAAAATCACATAACTGTGCTGTTTTACCTATTTTGATAAATCCATTTTTTACAAACTTTCTAAGGACCAGCGAGGATAAAATTCCGAAGAGACGCGCATTGTAAAAAAAGACATAGATAACCCAGACAACAAGAATGATGAGTGACAGTAGGGCCACGTGAAAACGCCCTTCGCTGATATAAGCGCTGACCTGACGGTCTAAACTGTCATTTGAGCGCAGTTCCAGATTCATTTCTGAAAATATTTTGAATGCACTCTACAACATCTCGTAAACTTTGAAATGTAACTGCGCAATTTAGGTTATTATAACGCCATTTATTATAGTTCAGTATAAGGGAGGTAGGCAGAGACTCTCTATAACCTATAAGACTGAGGAAAAGATTTGAGCCTTTCTAATCGAACTTCATATGGTAGACCTCCTAAGTTGCTGACTAATTTGGTCGTCCTCCGTTGAACTTTCTCCAGCGCTGCGTAATTTTGCTTCATCCACGGCGCACCACACCTGGATGCAATATTCTAACATCGATCGAAAAAATGTTCCAAACACTCGCTAAAAAAGCTCCGCATCAAAATCCAGGAAGTTTCTTCTGATCGCTTCTACGATGCCCGTGGCCTTCTTTGCGGTTTTGGAACAGTGATTTGAAGGTTTTGTATTGGGCGTCATACATACACCTAGATTTCTTAGTTCGTTGACTTGCCCGCGTTGGTGACCTCCGATGAAGTCGTCATACTCAAGTGGTATCTATTTTCTTTAAATAAACTGTAGGTGGATGACTTGGTATTTGTTGAAATAGGGCTGCAGTAGCCACACTGCCATCAGCAGCCCCGGACTGCCCCGTCGAAATGCACTTATCACACCACCTTTTGTAAACTCTGCAAATCCCCGCGCTTTCGATTGAATTCCATATCTTCAGATCGTCTGCAAACATTATTTTCTCCCAGGTGAGGCAATCAAAGCAGAAACAGAATGGGACCCAGAACGCTTTCCTGTGGAACCTCACAGGAAACGATCTTCTATTTTGATTTGGCGTCTCCAATGCAAGGACGCTGACACCTGCCTGTTACAAAGTCGGCTAACCATTTGAGTGGATTTCGGGTCACACCTAATTGATGCAGCTATGATACCAGTCGTCTGTGGGGAACCTTGTCGAAAGCTTTACTGAAGTCAATGTAGGTCGCATCGACCGATGAACACATTTCCAATGAATTCGTCCAGATTTCCGTGAATATTAGCAAGTGAGTTTGACAAGGTCGATCCTTCTGAATCCATGTTGTGCTGCGCTTAGCAGGTTGTTCTCTTCATTATGTATCTTTAGTTTCAGACGCCAAATTTTTATAAACAGCCTATGTCAGACTACTCTAAATGGTAAAGCACGTATTATTTATCTGTCTAACAACAAAGATCAGTGCATTGACCTTTTACTTAATGAACAATAACAGATACCTTCCTCAGTTAATCTTGCTGAAAGCAATGACGCATTTAAAGAAGACTTGATAGAACTTTACCTGCTGGTGTTACGTTGGGTAGATAGATATAATGTAGAGACATGGCTCTGAAACGTATGCATGATTTGCCAGGATCTACCTGTAAAAGCCGGGGTCGGCAATCTATGGCTCGCGAGCCAGTTGTGTCGCTTTTCGTGATTGCGTCTGGCTCTCTCAGATAAACTTGGAATTAGAAACTTCAGACTTGCTGCCACCGAGGCGCGTATTATAATCAATTTAATTTGACCAATCTCTGGCGTTTTGACCCCTAGGTTTGACCTAGCGGTTGTTTCAGTGTTCCCTTTCCGGCTAGCCGACAGCAGCTGCTTCCCCTTTCTTCTGCGTCACAACGGCCGCGACAAGCTCGCTTAATAACAGACAATTTACTAAAACACGACAGTCCCCAGACTTGACTTCAGCTTTGTCAAGGTCACAATCGCATAATAGGCTACCTTACGCGCATAGGCCAGCCTGCATCGTCACTTATATTCCCTTTTGTTTATGTCTACCATACGGAGGCATTTATCATACGCAAGCAAACAGTCTTGTGTACTAATAAATCGCTCCTGACATCTGATTGCTTTATTTCATCAGACTGAATACTCTTAGTTTAGTGGTGATGGTAGGTCACACATCCCCGACCCCTACAGTCTCTCTTCCTCTCATTTGCCCAAAGTTAACCGCTTCGACAAAGAAAATGGCAAAACGAAAAAGAGATGAGGAGTATCGTACATGTCAGGAAAAATAGGCCGAAGAATTTGCCTTTGTGGAGAGAGCAGATTATGCGTTGTGTCTAATTTATAATGACAAGATTACATCGATGAAACGGTGGAACGTAAAGCGCCACTTCAACACACGCCATGATACCTTTGCATCAAAAAAACCGCGGGAGATAGCAGAAAGAAAGCATGTCAAAAGCTAATGAGTAGGATGCAAGCCAGCCAGCAGCATCTCCGCATATGGACTCAGCAAGGTGACTATAACTCCGCTAGATTTGCTAGGTCTTTAGCAATAGCGGGGAACGGAGCAACATTCACAGATGGCGAGTATGCTAAAACGTTCATGATGGATGTAACCAATAAACCTTTTGATGCTCTTCTGAACAAAGACAAGATAATTAAACGGATAATAGACATGCCTCTTTTGGCAAACATTGTTAATGAGCGTGCCATCATGATGGCAACCCACGTGGAGGAAAACCAAGTGAAAGACATAAATGCAGCGCCGTTCTTTTCCCTGGCTTTGGATGAGCCAACAGACGTAAGCAATTTAGCTCAGTGCGGTGTGTTGCCGGTGATACACTGTGCGAAGAAAGTCTTGCTGTTCTGCCAATAAAAGGGTCCACAAGAGAGGGTGATTTATTCAAGTCTTTCACGGATTTCGTTCATGAAAAAATAAACTACCTTTGGATAAATTAATTTCAGTGTGTACTGATGGTGCTCCCTCTATCGTGGACAAAAACAAATGATTTGTGGCGCTTCTCCGTGAACATGAAAATAGACCCGTCGCACGTTTCCATTGCATTCCATACCAGGAGGCATTTTGTGCTCAGATGTGTGACGGGCAGCTTGGCGAAGTGATGTCGCTGGTCATTCGTGTGATCAACTTTATTGTGGCCCGAGCCTTAAATGATCGACCGCTTAAAACACTGCTGGATGAAGTTAGAAATAACTATCACGGCCTGCTTTTGCACAGCAATGTACGTTAGTTGTCAAAAGTGAAGGTTATTAGCCGTTTTGCGACTTGCCTGAACGAACCTCGGACTTTCCTTGAAATGAAGCGCATTGAGCATCCTGAGTTTGCCGAAACTGAGTGACTCCTCATGTTTTACAAACTGGTGGATATGACCGAACATCTGAACCAGCTCAAGGTTAAAATTCAAGGCAATGGAAATACAGTGTTATCTCTTTAACTAACCATCTTTTCTTTTGAAAACAGGCTGGAGCTCTTCATCATGGATTTTGAAATAGATTGTTTACTACATTTTGGAAAACTGAGACAATATAAAGACGCATGCACAGTAAGTGAGGCCGCTCAAAACTTTGATCTCCACCAACTAGTTGGCTTCACATCCAGTCTCCTACAGCCTTTCAAAACACGTTTTGGAGAATTTCGGGAGCACACTTGTCTTTTTAAGTGCATCACCCACCCAACTAAGTATTTGTAGTGGCCTTTCGCAGCCACTTGGAACCCAAGCTGAGCCGCTGACTCATGACGCCTTTAGCCTGCCTGCGCGCCCACTGCCTCCTGGGGTTAGGCGCTAACTCTCCTTGACCGACGCGCACCTAGGCCTCAGAGTGACCGCGCGCTCACGCTAGCCAGCCTTAGCCAACCTCAAGGTCGCGCACCCACGCTAGTCTAGGCATCGTCCGCACCAATGGCCACCGGAACAAAGAGTGTACCGGCGACGCCAGATGACCTCTTCACTCCGGATCCGACCCGACTAGGGAACGCTTGCATTAGTCCGCGAGTCAACACCCTTTCCATCTATTATCCTTTCCTTCTGCAGAATGCACTATTCCTAACAATTTCGCTTTCTTACGGTCTCCTCTTCTCACCTTAAGGAACCATGAGCCTGGAGGATCGTAACTGTTAGCACTAACCTTCTTAACCCTAACACCTGTCGATATTTTCATTTATTTTAGCCGACCTAGGTTATATTTCTAGTGTCTCCGTTAGATTTTTCGAAAAAGTGGCTGTCCTGAAGGCCTCAGACGTGTGGGTGAATAAGTTTATGTCACTCAATGAAGATTTGGAAGGAATCGCACGACATATAGCGGAGTTAGCAAGCAAGCATATGTGGATAGAAATTAAAATCTTCAATCCGAAGACCAGATGATAATCAATACTTGGAACACGCTTCCTGTCACATACCGCACACTGCAGCGTGCGATTATTGCTGTACTGACTTTGTTTGGATCTACGTATGCATGTGAGCAGTCATTCTCGGATCTTAAATATATCAAATCCACCCTATGATCACTTGTGACAGATGAAAGCCTCAACGCTTGCATGAAGTTTTACCTTATCAACTGACAATCGGACTACAAAGCAATCAGTGAAGCCATGCAGCATCAGAAGTCGCATTAGCAAGGAGTATTATAAGAAATTTATTAAAAAGAATAAATCCAGAAGCTTATTATACTCATATTTAATTTAATTTAATCTTAAAATCGATCATATGGATTGTTGCCTAGCATCCGACGATTTCTTTGAGCTGGCAAATACCATTAGCTTGCGCGGACACCTTCTAAAACAACTTGTGACTGGGGCAAGACTGAACACATGAAAATACTTCTTCTCTAAGAGTGCAATTCAGGCATGGAATGCTGTGCCGGCAGACATTGTCATGTCCCCATCTGTGGGCACGTTTAAGATGAACTTGGACGAGTATAACAAAGACGTTCTCTGAAATGAAGCTAGAGTTATAAAATTTATTAAAAACACACTGCTCGCTACTTTCAGCAATGTGTTTGTTTAAAATAACTGCTGCTGATCGTGGTAGGCTCCCGTGTTTAGTCATCTGGTCGGCAGACC